TAAAAGTAGGTTAAAAAGTATATTATAAGGAGGGCCAGACAGAATCTGTGGATATATATATATATATATATATATATATATATATATATATATATATATATATATATATATATATATATATATATATATATATATATATATATATATATATATATATATATATATATATATATATATATATACATACATACATACATACATACATATATATATATATATATATATATACATACATATATGTATATATATATATATATATATATATATATATACATAAACAAGAACAAATGTTAAAGAAGGCTTAACATTTTTAGCAGAACAACTTTTTATAATTAAAAAAATTATAATGTTTTAAAAAATGCAAAACATTCCCCCACAGCCCAAAGACATGCAATATAGGTGAATTCAATGAACTAAGTTGGCTGTAGGGGTGGCGCAATGGGTAGCACTGTTGCCTCACAGCAAGAAAGTCGCTGTTTAGAGCCTCGGCTGGGTCAGTTGGCATTTCTGTGTGGAGTTTGCATGTTCTCCCCGTGTTGGCGTGCACAGCCCAAAGACATCCGCAATAGGTGAATTGGGTAAACTAAATTGCCTGTAGTATATATGTGTGAAAGCAAGTGTGTATGGGTGTTTCCAAGTACTGGGTTGCAGCTGGAAGGGCATCCGCTGCATAATACATATGCTGGATAAGTTGGTGGTTCATTCCGCTGTGGCGACCCCTGATTAATAGAGAGACTAAGCTAAAAAGAAAATGAATGAATGAAATAGGCCGTAGTATGTGTGTGAATGAGAGTGTATAGATGTTTCCCAGTTGTGGGTTGCAGCTGGAAGGGCATCCACTGTGTAAAACATATGCTGGATAAGTTGGTAGTTCATTCTGCTGTGGCATAAATAAATAAATAAACTAAGCCGAAGGAAAATTAATGAAAGAATGAACTTTAGCTAATAACGGCATTTCTTCCAACTTTCAAAGTTATCATTTAAAGTTTTTTTTTTTCCATAAGACAAGATGTTCGGTAGGGAGTTCAGAAATCACTATTTGGTGAATAAACTGATTTTGATCAAAATTAAAATATTTTTAATTAGACCAATTCTCACTTTCTGCAAAATAAGCAACAAATTTCTATTTTTATTAAAAATGTGGAATAAATATTATCAGACCACAATAGACTACAACAAATATTAATATTTCACTCAAACTCAAACCCAATCAATCCAAAGTGATCTCTTATTTTTTTTTTATTTTGTATAGTCTGTACAGTTTATGTATATTTAGATATTTATACATACAGCATATACAGTTGAGTTTTTAGCCCCCTTAATATTTTTCCCCAATTTCTGCTTAATGGAGATTTTTTTTTCAACACATTTCTGAACATAATAGATTTAATAACTCATTTCTAATAACTGATTTTTTTTATCTTTTCCATGATGACAGTACATAATATTTGACTAGATTTGTTTCAAGATGCTAGTATTCAGCTTAAAGTGTCATGTAAAGTAGGGCTGGGCGATAAATCGGAAGTAATCGAAATCGACATTCAGAACATATAATCGATCTAATTTTTCCAGAAGGATTTGTTCAATTACTTTCTCCACTGTGTGTGGAATCCCGTGACGCTGCTCTGTTAAATGCTGAGGCTGATTTATACATCTGCTGCCACTTTGCAGCCACATCTGATCTCTGGTCAAGTAGGATGATAGACCCATTGTTAAGCCTTACTTTGCACTACATTGATGATGATGGGAAGCTGTGCCAGAGATGCCTTGAGATGGCATATTTTCCATTTTATTAAAATTATTATTCATTCATTTTATTTTCGGCTTGGTCCCTTTATTAATCCGGGGTTGCCACAGTGGAATGAACCACCAACTTATCCAGCAAGTTTTACATAGTGGATGCCCTTACAGCCCCAACCCATCTCTGGGAAACATCCACACACACTTATTCACACTCATACACTACGGACAATTTAGCCTACCCAATTCACCTGTACCACATGTATTTGGACTGTGGGGGAAACCGGAGCACCCGGAGGAAACCTACACAAACACGAGGAGAACATGCAAACTCCACACAGAAATGCCAACAGGCCCAGCCGAGGCTTGAACCAGCGACCTTCTTGCTGTGAGGCAATGTAAAATTATTATTTACATAAAAAAATTTGTTTACAGTAGATGCAAGAAATGCACGGTTTAAAATATTATTTACTGGATATGCAAGAGTTATTTTGTTAAGAAGAGATACAGTTTATTTCTTGTAATATGAAAAACACTGAAAATCATTTATTTTGTTTCCAAAAGTTATTAATTTTCACTTTTTTATAAGAAAAAAGTGACTGTTGGTTTTAGGTAATGTATGTTATAATTTCAGTTGTTCAACGTTGATGTTTAATAAATAATCATAGATAGCAGTGTGTGTTTCCTTTAATTATTTTAGTAATGCACCCTTCATTCAAAAGTCTCTAGCTTGTCATACAGTATGCGAGCATATTTACTGTACAAAGTTTGGCAGTGAACAGTGAGGGCAAAAAAATAAAATAAATCAATCAAATAATCTTTTATTAATTGTAATTGAGTTCAAATGTTCACTTAATCGAGGTTTTGATTTTAGGCCAATTCTCCCAGCCCTAATTTAAATCCTTAACTTGTTAATTAGGTTAATTAATTCTGTAGAAAATCAAAAAGAAATATTGCTTATAGGGGCTAATAATATTGGTTTAAAAAATGTTTTAAACCGCTTTTATCCAAGCCGAAATCAAACAAATAACACTTTATCCAGAAGAAAAAATATTATAGGAAATACTGTAAAAAATTCCTTTCTCTGTAAAACATCCTTTGGGAAATATTTGGAAAACAATTTTACCATAGAGCGAATGATTTTTACTGTATATACAGAGAGTGAAGCTATATATTTAGCCTCTCCTCATGTCCTTTCTTTTACTTCATTTACTCTACTCTCTTTATAAATAAGTAAAAGAAACCTAAGCTATTATTTCACCATAAAACAAGCCCAAGTGTCTCCATGTAATTAGCAGCACACACAACACCTACGCAGAGGTGAAGGCGCCTCATTCATCTCTCTCCAGCTGTCCATAAAATGTCAAGCCAATGCGGCCACTGGATGAGATACGACCCAACGCCATCATGGCAGTCTCCACAATGCTGTTTACACCAAAACACTCGCTCTCCGCAAACTCCTGCGCTCCAAGCCTCAGGAATGCAGCTCTGCATCCCTGCTCACATGCAGCAGAATAACTGGAGATGTTCTCCAGCGGCGCTGAAGGGGGAAAACAGCACACAAAAGCAGCACTCTCGGCACTGAGAGGCTGCTGCTCCACTACCTGCTCAGACTGATACAGCAGGGGGTGGATTGAGGCCTGATGGTGTGTGTATGTGTATGTGTGTGAGATTAGCTGGAGATTGTGGAGCATGACTGAGTTGCTCTGGGATATAAACGGGAGCGCAGGGTGTGAATCCACAGGTGGGAGGCGCTAGAGAGCTGAGCACGATCCTCTGGATGAGGTCAGAAAAAATGCATTCTGGAGGATTATTTGAAGAGAGGAACTTCTTACTGGACATTTCATGAAACATTCATTAAATATAATCAAATATCAAATTATTATAATATAAAATTATAATTTTATTTCAATATCAAATATTCATTAATTATTATTATAAAACTCTAGGCTAAAGTTAAAAATGGATGCTTAATGCCTTTTAAGGGGTGCTCAAACTTTTCCTATAAAGGGCCAAAAACCAAACTGGATTCAGGGCTGTGGGCCAAATATATACCAAATTTGCTAAGGGGAAAAATGTTGCATTAAATCATATTAATTGACATAGTATCGTTTATAAACTTTTACATTGAACTTATTACAGTAAAAACATAAACAATCCCATTTATAACACAATAGAGTTCATCGCTGAATGCACTGGTCGAGATCCTGTCTTCACCTTGATTTGCTCTCTGATGTCTTGTGCATTGTCCCCTATCTGTCATGTGGCAGTATTTACATCTTAAAGTCTAATTCATTTACAACATTTAATTGTATTATTTAATTTCGGTTGGATTTTTTTGAAGCTCAGCAATAAAACAAAGGAACAAAAGGTTACGTCAAATTCAAAATGACGATCTCTGTCAAAGGCATTTGCCCCAACCACATCCCCATTATTCTCACTCTCTATTCAGATGGGATGGCAGGCCAAATCAAAGGTTACCATGGGCCATCTTTGGCCCGCGGGCCCTACTTGGGCTTCTCTGCTTTAGAGGTTGATCTGATACCAGAATATTAGACTTAGTATGAAGGCAGAAGGTATAGAAATAGTTTGTTATTAAGCACTTTTTAACCCCTTTAGACCCTAATATGTCAACCCATGTTTTTGTGGTACCTGGGGATTTCATCTAATTTAAAAACTGCAGTCCATGAGAGTGGACGATTGTCATCCAATCAAATGGTGGTAAAATCTACTACACTAAAAAGCAGCATGGCATCACTTCACTCCAGACACAGACGTAAGCCACATTTACATTGTTTTTATTAGGTTTATTGATATTTTTGCCAATATTTTATAGATTGTATGTAAATAAAAGAGTACTAATTAAGGTTTAAAGTCTTTTATAACATTGCAAGCTTTAGATCAGGATTTTTTCAAAATATGTTTGTCTATTACGATAGGTTCAAAACCTGTTACTGACATTAAATCTCCTGATTGATTTTTTTTTATTAAAAAAAGACTATATTGATGTGCTAATTCATTGCTGAAACTATTTAATATGCAGAATATACAGATCTTGAACATCTTGAGCAGAGATGCCCAAAATAGGGCCCGCGGGTCAAAGTTGGCCCATTGTAAGCTTTGATTTGGCCCACCATCCCATTTGAGAGGAGAGTGAGAATGATGGAGAGGGTTGGGGTGAATGCCTTTAACACAGAGTTCAGAGATCGTCATCACCTTTTTTTTGTTTGTTTTATTGCATTTTATTGTTTCAATCAAATGTCACAAATGAATCAGATTTTTAAAAATGTAAATAGTCTCACTCGATGGATGAAGGACCATGCAGAAGACATCAGCAAGCAAATCAAGGCAAAAACTAATGTAATTCTATTAAAAATTTGATTGTTTTGTTTCATCTGTAATAAGTTCATTATAAAATGTATAAAATACTGTATAAGTTAATATAAAGCAATGTTTTATAGTCATGTTAAACATTATAAAACAAATTAGGAAATTACCCATGGCAACTATATTTACCTTCAGCCCACTAGCCTCAGTCAAGTTTGGTTTTTGGTCCTTCATAAGAAAAAGTTTGGGCACCCCTGATCTTGCAGATGGAGATATCTCAGATGTGGACATTATATGGAGTGATGAGGAAGATGATGATAATGGTGTAATCTATCCAACAAAAACCTCAAAATTAAAGTAAAATGTTACAATCTTAATGTTTGTGTTTTTAAAAATTAATGTAAGTATACCAGCAATCATGTACGTGTTTTTTGTATATATATATTGTGTTTTGTGTGTGTTGTGTTGTGTGTTGTGTTGTGCATTTTTTTTAGAAACTTGGAACATAATTGGGGTCTGAAGGGGTTAAAAGTTAAAATAATTTTAGTAAACAATTAATCTGAATTGTAACATTTACTGTACAATTACTGTACACGCAGAAATAGATTTGTTGTCAAATTAATCCGATTTTTTATTTTATTTAAATTTTACATATGCAACATTTACAATATTTTCCTCATATTGATTTTTCCCATTTAGCATTGAAACATGGAAAAAAATTATAAAAATGTGAAATCTTTAATGTTTTAAGTTTACATTCGACTGTACAATAATAACAGGTCTATATGATTTATGCTCAAAAAGGGAGCATTTATTTGATAAAAATGTCCGGTAATTTTGTAAAATATAATTACAATTTGAACCAATTAATTATTTTTAATTAATTATAATTATTAATTTTAATTTAATTATTTTATATTCATTTGAACCAATTATATTATATATAATAAATTATATTATTATATTTGAACATTGTATTTCAATGATTTATTCCTGTAATGCAAAGCTGATTGTTTTTTAGCAGCTGTACCTCCAATCTTCAGTGTCATACAAGCTTCAAAAATCCTTTCAATGCTAATTTGGTGCTTGAGAAACACGTTTAAAAATGTTGAAAATGGCTTAATATTGTTGCAAAAAATATGATCTTTTTAATCAGGATTCTTTACTGAATAAAAAAATCTGATGAATATTATTTCCTTTTTTTTAAATAATAAATTATATATAATAATAATAATAATAGTAATATACCACTGAAGTGGATACTTAAACATGTATGTACAGTAATGGATGTATGAATGTGACTAGTGCTTCAGGCTGTCTTGTGTGAGTGAGCTTTACCTTGTAGAGGCCGAAGAAGCCCAGGTCACGGATGACAGAGAAAGCACTGACGCGTGGCCCTGTGGTGATTTCACCCGCCACCTGCAGACGGATCTTCACGATCTCCAGAGGGTTTGTGAAGATCACCTGAGATCCTCCAGCCTGAAGATCAACAACAGAAACAAAAGCTTTCTCAGAGCGCTCCATTACCAAATATAATGCCTTCATTTCAAAATCTCAATAATATTTTCACAATTCACTTTCATTTGTAGATAAAGTAATCAGCAATGATTTACTTGCCTAGCCTATTTGGCTTCTTCTACCTTCTGGTGAACACAAAAGGAAGATATTTTGAAGAAAACCACTGGCTTCCACATTTTTTTTATTTTTACTACAATGGAAGTCAATGGTTACAGGATTTCAGCATTCTTCAAAACATCTTCTTTTATATTCAACAGCAGAAAAAACACATAAAAGTCTGAAAGCACTTGAGCGTGGGTAATTTGTGAGTACATTTTCATTTTTGCATGAACTATCCCTTTAAATAACAAGTATAAATGAGCAAAAGAGTTTGCTGCCCGCCTATCCAGATCATCTGAAGTTATTGTTCTAATTACGTTCTGATGAACCCGAAGTAAAAAAAAAAATGACGAGGAAGGTAATGTGATATTCTTGTTATGAAGGACAATGCTTTGAACGGGGTCCTGTAAATGATTGTGCTATTGTCACTCTTTGAAGGAGGAGGAGGTTAAACCTGCCAAGGACAGACAGTGCCTGAAACATCACACAGAGCGCAGGCCCCCAGGGGCCGCTCAAAAAAACAACCTCGCGTCTCCAACCTTGTACTTGTGAAGCAGATAAAAAGCATCTGCAGGTTGGAACAGGTTTCCACCGAGCTCTTTGAAACGGCGCAACAGAAGCATTTGAAGCGTGTCTCTTCAGAAAGGCTGGCCGTTTGCCGCCTCCGTGCCCGATCTGTCCTGTTGCTCATAGTTACTGAGGCTCCACGCAGAAAAACAGAGCGCTGTAATTAGATGGAAATCAGTTTCCATGGATTTCTTCTCCTTCCCTCAGCCCTCCCTTTGAATGCATAAGGACCGTACTGTTTGTTTGTTGTCGAATTTATTCCTCTATTCTCTGAGAGATATTAACACACGAGCCGTCTTGCGGGAATCTGCTAAATGAGTGCTCATAAAGAGTGCGCATTTGAAATGGCGTTGAGTAAAAATATAGATCATTATCATCTCAATGAAGGTGCACTTTAAATAGGATGGAGCAGATTGACCAAAAGTTCCCTTCCAGGAAATTATATCTCAGATGTGGAGAGAGACGCTGCCCACCTTACAGAGTTACAGCATGGCTGGCAACAGAGTTTCATGAATATGGTTTATTTTTCTGTCCAATTATCTTTTTTTAAACTTCTAAATTCTGTGGATCATTGACCAGGTCCTCATATACGTCATTAATGCGGGTTCAGAGTTACAAATCATTAAAAGTGCATTAGTGCTTCCTTGCTTTTATGAATTTTTGGAAGTATTCATTAAAGTGTTGTAAGCCATGAAGCTACAAAGAGAATCAAGACATTACAAACTTATATTTTAAATGAATAAGTATGTGAAAATCAGACAAAATATGACAAAGGTACAAAATTGTGTACTTCATTTAAAAGAAGGGAAGAACTACAATGCCATGAAGCATTTCAAATTGCATTCAATGCAAAAAAGTTAGCTCCGGTTTCCCCCACAGTCCAAAGACATGTGGTACAGGTGTATTGGGTAGGCAAAATTGTCTGTAGTGTATGAGTGTGTGTGTGAATGTATGTGGATGTTTCCCAGAGATGGGTTGCGGCTGTGGGGGCATCCGCTGCTTAAAAACTTGCTGGATAAGTTGGCGGTTCATCACGCTGTGGCGTCCCTGGATTAATAAAGGCACTAAGCCGACAAGAAAATGACTGAATGAAAGAAAAGGTCAGCTTGTTTGCATACTTCACAATGATTACGTTTACAGATCTGATCGACGAGACCCACAGAACATCAACAAAGATTTTTACACACTGTTGAACATATATAATGTTGTGTATTTATACACAACTTTCAGCGTGTTGTCTAAAATCTTCAGTCAAAAAATGACATTAAATGACAAATAATCACATTCCATATTTCAGTTTTTACCAAACTCATGGTCTCGAATAAATAAAGCTTACATGTCAACCATGCTTGAAGATACAAAAGGGACAAAACAGCCATTTTTGCCTATTGTTTGGGAAATGTTTCTGTAGGTAAAATTTTCTGTAGATTAAGCACATCCTTTTACTAAGCAAAAAAAAATAAAAAACAGTTAAGAGTTTCACATCCTACTTTGTACCCTATTCATGGAAAATGCAACTTCTTTATGTGGAAAGTAATCTTTTATGGTTAATTATGGCATCAGGGCCGAGAGCGATCATTTATTTCAGAGCTGTTTTGGCAAGGAAATAATGGACTGAGGAGAAGTCTAGGTTATTAGCCACATTAATTGGGTACTAATTGGATATTTAAAAAGTTCCACAAAGAGAACAAGCAAACATGCAAACAAGAACATCGGTTAGACGGAGACAACAGATCAATCACCTCTGGCTTTTAAAGAGCGGGAAGCACGCGCTGCAACGTGACTGCAAGGAAAGCCATTTAAGTGCAGAGTGAGGCAGCGTCGGCTCGATAATTCTGTGATAATTACAAGGCAAGGTAATCCCTGGAGGCACTGAGAGCATGTGTGTGTGTGTGTGTGTGTGTGTGTAGGACACTTAATACACTCTACTGGTGGGATGTGCACAAGTGCAGACAAATGCAGCATCACACACACACATATGCACACATACACACAAACAACCCTTCATTAACAGCCGCTTTATATTTCTTAAACAGGGTGCTAAAAATCTATTTGATTGGTGGAATCTACTGTAGAGCATTATGGGTAATGTTGTTTTTTTGTGCATGCATTTCACAATAGATCTTAGTAGGTCTGCACAAGATTGGAAAAACCGGACATTGATGTTTTATTTTTCTGTGATATGTTTGCGATATGAATACAACTTTAGCAGATGGCTTGAATTGCTCTTTTTTGAATGAACTCATTTAATTAGATTGACTGGGAAATTTTGGTAGCGGGGTAAATCAAATAAATTGCAAGCATAAATAAGGTTTGATAGATACAAATAAAGATAGAAGTGTAATAAGCAGTGCTTTGTGGTTTTCTGGAGAGTCGAACAGTAGTCAGATACTATGCAACTCTCACGTTTACCCACTGAGCTAAGCTTCAGTACCTGAATGGGAGACCACATTGGTTGCTGTTAGAAGTGGTGTTAGTGAGGCCAACCTGCGGGTCTCTGTGAGGCCTTATGCCCCAGTATAGTGAAGGGGACATTATACTGTTAGTGAGCGTCGTCTTTCAGATGAGATGTTAAACTGAGGTCCTGATTCTCTGTGGTCATTAAAAATCCCAGGTCTCTATATCATAATTGGCTTCATTACTCCATAATGATACTTTATAATTGACTTCATTACAGTCTCCTCTCCACCAATCAGCTGGTGTGTGGTGTGCGGTCTGGCACAATATGGTTGCCGTCATGTCATGTTTTGTTTTTTGTTTTTTACATATAACACAGTGCATTGTTAATGTTCTAACTATTTATAATGTTTAAATTGGCTGAGAATGATAAATTTTTTTTTAATAATTATTAATCTCCCTCATTTTTGAACTGTGCAGTGCTGTAGCTGCTTCATCGGGCCTACTACGCTACTGTATTGCAATACTGCTCATTATGGTGGTACTTGGAAAGACAATTCTTTTCTGAGGTGGTACTTGATGAAAAAAGTTTGAGAACTACTGCATTAAGAAATTTAATTGTAGTTCTTTTCCTCTTTAAAGAAGTAAAGTCCAAAAGTGCCCTCAGATTTTCATGTATTTCTTTGCTTCAAATCAAATACAGACTTTCTCACACATACACACACACACACACACACACACACACACACACACACACACACACACACAAACACACATAGAGATACACACATAAACAACAATAGCTCAGTGCCAGACATAACCATTAGCCTTCCTTCATTAACAGTCGCTCGAATTCCTCACACTTACACAAGGGATTACCGCAAGCATTTTAGAGAATTAATGGAAACATTGCTGGACAAGCTAAATTACACACCTAGTGTTGCAAATGAACAAAGCGTCACTGTTTTCACGCTTTCCCCTGCATTTAACATTGGCTAAGCGAGTATTTTGAGTAACCCAGCCCTCAAATGAAGGCCAGAAACAACCAGATAAGAATCCAGCCAACTCCGCGAGCAGCGAAGCGTGATGTTCTTACCAAATGATCAACTCTTGGCAACTGTCAAGGCTCTAATTCAGACGCTGCTATGTGAGAAGAGAGGAGCTTAAATGTAAAAAAAAATTCTTCTGCGCTTTCCGCCCTCAGACAGGAACGTTCACGGCACACAAATCAGCAGTCTAGTCCTCTCCCTCTCAAACCAAATAAATATATTTGATTTGCCGTGGCTGCAGTGTCAATAAACAGGGCTTTGAGTGAGCGGCGCGTGTGCAGGCGTGAGAAAGGGAGCGGATCCTGCCAGGCCAAACACTGGAGATTCAGGGCCGGGATGAAAGGAGCTGTCAGAGGAATCAGAAGAGGAAAAACACATCTCCGTGGCACAAGCTGCCTTTCTGAGCCAACTTCATCTGCAACCAACCTGATATTTCCGTATCCATCTCTTTTCAAGAATCAGAGGAGAGGTCTTGGCGGCTAAAAATGCATATGGCAAGCCGTTTTAACATTTAATCAAGCAAAGAAAAAACATACTATTATCTATTTTCATGCTACTAGCACTTTTTTAGTAGCTATTAGTGCTTATTCCTTTAGATCAGTGGTTCTCAAACTGTGGTACATGTACTAGTAGTGGTACGCATGCTTCGTTTGCGCCGAATCACGTCATTTACGCGAATAGCAGCACAGGATGTCTATTCACCTCTTGGCATTGACTTAAAGGGCACCTAGGTTACCCTTTTTTCAGATTTATTATAAGTCTTTTGCGTCTCTAGAATGTGTATATAAAGTTTCAGATCAAAATACCCATCAGATTTTTCATTATACCTTTTACAAGATGCTGTTTTATACTGATTTCCAGCAGCGGGTGGTTTTGTCGTACTGCGCCTTTAAGACGAGTCTTTCCCGCCTACTGTTTCTACATGCCTCCTCCCTCAGCTGCGTCAGACAACAGACAGACTTAAAGGAAGAAGGTCTCACGTAGCGTTTTTGAGATCCTACAGTAAGAACTAACCTTTACTAATCAGTATTGTGAAGTTGCATTGATGAGTCACACACAATATCTTTACAAAGTTAACGCGCGCGCGCACACACATACACACGCACACTGCAGATGACACACACACACACACAGGCAGGCAGGCAGGCAGACAGACAGAGCGCGCTTAGCTTAGTTAAGGCTAACCTCAAGTACTGTGTGTATATCTGTTATGCTAATGTACAAAATAAACCTGATTTAACTTCCACAAACCGGGATTGAAGCGTCTTCTTTTATAATTGTTCTGACACGTGGCTGTGCTGATAAAGTAAAGCTGAAGTAAAACGCTGTAATTAATTGCTGATCCTAGCGAACAGAACAGACCTTTTATTTCCGGTTGCTGTGCGTATGTCTGCCTGGTCTTGTTGACATATACACGCGACTACCGGAACATGTTAATGAGCGCAGCTGTCAATCAATTCGGTGGGCGGGGGGATCGCACACCTACGTAATGGTGCGATCGATTTGAAAACAGCTCCAATTGGCCGACCCTTTTTTTTGTAGTTAAATTGAAAAAAAAGGACTGGGTGTGTTCATATCACCCCAGTATGACGGTCTATACACTATACAACACACAGATCTGTCCAAACAGCTTGAAAAGTAGATTTTTTACCATAGGTGCCCTTTAACATGCAAATCACTTGACGCTTCATCCGCGCTTGGTGTGAACGCACCATTACACTGTAAAAAATGCTGGGTTCCACACAATCCATTTTTGTTGGGACAACATGAAGGAACTGAGTTAACATTTGTTTTTACAAAACTAAGTGGACTGAACATAAAACAATTAAGTTGTCTGCTTTAAAACTCAAGAATTGGGTTATTTCAGATCATTTAAAATAAGTAGTTTGAGAAAAACAGCAAACATACTTTATGAGTGTACTAATATTGATTAATGTAGAGATACTAATGATTTGCTAATGCCCAATAAATTATTCATATTGTGGCGTTAGTATAAAGTGTTAACTTAAATATTTGTAGCTTAATAATAATCATAAGTATGAACATTAACTAGGACTTACTAGTACAAAAATATTCATTCATTCATTTTCCCTCGGCTCAAGGCTGATTTATACATCGGTGTATGCTCTGGCGATGCCTGCTAGTAGTTGCAAAGCCCTCGCCGTGTCTGTCGCCGACGCTGACCTCTCAAAAAAGTAACCACACATTGCAACAACGCGTAGTGCAAGCTCTGTCATTGGTCGGCTAGGTAGCGCTGATGAGTGTGGGCGGGACCACCCCCAAGAGCCGCGTGAACCCGGTTGCAGCGAGTGTTTACAAGTGTCGAGTCCTGTGAAGGAGGTCAAGATGGAAACTGTTTACCTTATGATTAAAGTTCTAGCACGTCCGCCGGTTCCTGCCTCAAAATGAGCGAGTTTGAGCCACTTCTACATTAAGGAAGCATTCAAAAAAAAAGAAACACTAGCAAAGAAACTCGACACAGAGGAACTTAATACCTTCTGCCAGCTAGAGTTTCAGAAGTGTTATTGCAGAGTAATACGAACCGAACAGAAGTATAAATGCACGGCTACATGCAAGGTATGCGCCGATCACTCAACGTGGAAGTATAAACCAGGCTTTAGTCCCTTATTTATCAGCGGTCGCCACAGCGGAATGAACCACCAACTATTCCGGCATATGTTTTATGCAGTGGATGCCCTTCCAGCCACAACCCAGCACTAGAAAACACCCATACACTATAGCCAAATTTAGCTAACCCGAATCACCTATACCGCATGTCTTCAGACAGTGGGGGAAACCAGAGCAACCGGAGGAAACCCACATGAACACGAGAAGAACATGCAAACTCCACACAGAAATGCCAACTGACCCAGCCGGGACTCGAAACATCATCGCTTTTGCTGTGCTAACCACCGAGCCACCGTGCATCAAATAATTACTAGTGGCACAAAAACAGATAGCAGTATGTTTTTTTATAGATTAAATATTAAAACAGCCTGCCGTAAAATGGATTCATGTTGGGATAATTGAAAACTCGCCATCATCTACAAGTGTGTGACACTTATAAATACAAACCCACTGTCATTTGAACGAGGCTCTTTAGTGGCAGACAGATCTCAAGTACGACACAAACAGGAAGCTCCTCTGAAATCTGAACTGACGGGCATTGGCTTTTATGGAAACAATGTGTTAATACTGTCAGCCTCACCTTTACGCTTGTAATGAAAAGGGTAAGTGATCCCCTCCTCGAGCTCAGACTATGGTTTAGAAGTGAGATGACAGAGGAGAAGTGTTTTCTACATGTTTTTAAACACCGATGGGCGCTGAAGTGTCTGTTCAATCACCTCATAAAAGAGAGAGAAGTGTTCCCTCGGGCTGAGGCTCAAGACCTCAAAGCCTACTGACATTCAAAAACTAAACTCCATTATGTCAGTGTACTGTTACCATGTGACGTATGGATTATATGTTTACGTATCAAGGCAGGGAGCTACTCACACATCCGCCGGCCAAGATTTCAGCAGGTAGAGGAACGCTGCCGTCTTTCTGCAGAGTCTTTCCTCTCACAAAGTCATTCACCTGTGAAATAATAATAATAAAAAAAACAATGAAGCATCAGCTTTGGTTTGGTGGAGGTTTGCATGGCAGACACCTATGTGTAAAGGTATAAAGTGGCAATTGTGAGATATTAATGAACAATTGTAAGATGTAATGTCAGATATACTGTTTTGTGCTATTAAGTTTCACAACTGTGAGATAATTTTGCAAGTGTGAGATTTAAAATGAGATAGAAAGTAGATATACTGTAGTCTCAATTCTGAGAAACCAAAAGGGTTGCATGAGCAGATATATATACATGCACAAATACAAGACTTATTTGTCTCTTATTTGTAGACCAAGAAGGTCGTTAGTTCGAGCCTCGGCTGGGTCAGTTGGTGTTTCTGTGTGGAGTTTGCATGTTCTCCCTGCATTCACGTGGGTTTCCTCTGGGTGCTCTGGTTTCCTCCACAGTCCAAAGACATGCAGTACAGGTGAATTGGGTTGGCTAAATTGTCCGTAGTGTATGAGTGTGTATGGATGCTTCCCAGAGATGAGTTGCAGCTAGAAGGGCATCTGTTGCGTAAACCATGTGCTATATCAATTTGCGGTTCATTACGCTGTGGCAAGCCCGGATTATTAAAGGGACTACGGCAAAAAGAAAATAAATGAATAAAGGAAAATTAATGAGTAAAAGTACACATCTTTAAATCTCCTCTAAAAGTACTCGGTACCCAATAATTTTACTCAAGTGAATGTAACGAATTAAATGTAATTCGTTACTATCCACCTTTGATTAAAAGTCAACACCCATAATGCAATTCATAACCGTAAATAAACTAAAACACTTGTGAATCACAAATAAGGAAACTTTTTTTAACAGTCTATTACTTATTACACAGCTCTCGGGAATACTTGATTCTGATAGGTCAATCACAACATTCCAAGGTATGTTATTCCCAGATAACAACCGCTTAAACTAAAAAGTCATCCGGGTATTTTAAATCATCTGGACCATTAGTGAATATATTCTATAGCAGGGGTTCTCAAACTTTTTCGCTTAGAGCCCACCTTTTTCTCCAAAAACTTTTTGAAGGCCCAAACTGATTGTATAGTGAAAATGCTTATTTTAAAGCTTTATTTATTAGCAAAACATTTGTTTTACCTTCTATTATTTCCTTATTTTTCTAAATCAGTTCATGAAAAAGCTTGAAACATTAAGTTGAATAAGTTGACTCTGGTTGAAAACGTCAAGTTGAAAACGCCAAAAAGCGAGTGGCTGCACAAATGTGCAGGCGGTGACCAAATCCAGCGAAGAGTGACTGCTGTTTGGAGAAACGTTTGGCTATGATGGTGGGTTTAGCCGTTGCCCGAGATATTTCTGTGATTGAAAATATAAATACTTTAATACATACTCATTTGGTGAATTCAAGTATATATTTTTTTATACTTTTGTTTGTTATGTTTAGTATGATTGTAGTCGGTGGCTTATAGCTATCTGGGCTAAAGTTAAATTTGTAATATTGACAGATTTATTCCGGCTGGCACCCGAACAAAAAGTAAAATATTACCCACTTGGGGTTTAAGGTAGGGCCACCGTTACAAGTCCCTTTACTACTCAGGGGTCCCCACAGCAGAATGAACTGCCAACTCATCCAGCATATGTTTTACGCAGCGAATGCCCTTCCAGCTGCAACCTAGTACTGGGAAACACCCATACACACTAATTCACACACATAGACTACAGTCAGTTTAGTTCATCCAATTCACCTATAGCACATGTCTTTGTACTGTGGAGGAAACCAGAGCACCCAGAGGAAACCCACACCAACAGGGTGAGAACATGCAAAACCAGGCTCAAACCAGGATCTCAAACCATCTAAGTTTGTTATTCAAAGTCGTAAACATGACAAAATGAAGTTGCACACACTCAGTAATAGATAACTTAATCCATTTGTGTTGGGAAAACATGAAGGAATTGTATGGAACCCAGCATTTTTTACAGCAAAGCCTCGACTGTGACATAAAAAGTTCCAAACACTAAAGTATATAAGCACGCCTGCTGATGCCCAGTTCAAGAATGAGCATCACTCTGACAGGGGCTCAAACAGAAAACAGACTGACTTGTTTTTCAATGGGCTCAGGCTGCAGTCAGGAACCGAGGGGTGTATTTCAGAGAGTTAAGGGCTTTGGTTTTAAAAGGCCACGCTGATGTGGTGAAGGCAGAGCACTTACTGTAAGCTTTATGGCTTTCTCGGGAGCCACGCCCAGAAGCTGCGGTACCAGGCCTATAATTAGAAAACAAGTTGATTAAAAAAGACAGGGGTGAAGAGGGAAGCAGCACTTTCCTCAATGCAAAAGCTGCTGCCTTTAGTTTCCCTATCATCCACACACTAATGAACACTATTGATGTGGAGTGTTTAAATATTGGAAACTTCACAGCACTACAAACTCCTTTTTTCCCTTTAAAATGAGCCTCAACCAAAAGTTTACACAGGCCTCAATTACGACGCAGATTTCTGGCTTGGACGAAAATAAACTAAATAATCTGATTTAAAACTGACGAGCCACCCGCGGCCGTAACAAACAAGCGCAGTAATGTGGGCAGTACTGTGCGAGTCCAAACAGGCCACACAGCGAGATGAATGGACACGGTTTCTGCGCGCATGGCCTACTGAGCGCATTTGCGTTTATATACAAGATGGAGAATTAAAAAACAAACATATTTTTGAAAATGTAATCATCCGTCGCAAATCTCGTAAACTGTTATTGTTCTTGCATGCTGCCGATTTCGTTGTTTGCCAGGATGGTGACATCATCGTCTGTTACTTTGATTGTAAACAATCGGCATGACTGCAAATATAAGCAAATGTTTTTTGCTGACCTAAGAAGATATTATGATAAAACAAAACAAAAGCCTCTGATAAATGATTAAAAATAAAATAAATAATACAAATAAAATTATCAAAATAAAATGTATATAATCAAATACAAAAATAATAAAACAAAAATTTAATTAATTTTAATGATAAAAATTACATTTAAATAATAAAAATAAGATGAAATCATAAAAATGTAAATTAAATAATACAAATTAAATGAAATTAAATAATAAAAATAACATTTAAATAATAAAAATTAAATTAAATAATAAAATTAAATTAAATAATAAAAAATAATTAAATTTAATTAAACAAAATAATACAAATAAAATAAAATAAATAAATAAAAAATATATTAAATTAGATTTAATTTAGTTAAAAATAAATAACTTAAAGATAAAAAATAAAATTTTATTAAATTAAATATATATATATATTTTTTTTTATCAACAATAAAGCTTATTATAAAGCTTAAATAATCAAACAGATATTCTTTAAGTTGGAAACATCTCATCATGTGCCTAAAAATCTTCCATTTTATATAAAGCTGGGAATGAGTTATGTTGTTTATTATATTATATTATATTATATTATACTATATTATATTATATTATATTATATTATATTATATTATATTATATTATATTATATTATATTATATATTGAAAATAAGTTTTTTGCTTCAATAAAAGTGTTTTTAACATTAGTAAATACTTTTATTATTACCATGTATCAGATAATATGAAATATAACAATCAACATGGAAAAATTTTTATTTTTTCCTAACAATAATAGCTGTCCAGCTTAAAATAAAAAAACGAAGGATGTATAAAAAAAATAAAACGTTTCTAAAAATAGTGTATTCAAATCTTTTCAGAATAGCTTTTAAATAATTTCTAAATGTCTTACGTAGGTGCTTATTTACTGTAACCTCTTTAATTCTTTTTTTAAGTTTTACCCTCTGCGCAATGTTATAATGTTAGATGTACCTTCAAATGTGCTGCAGAAAAAAACTTTTATTATTATCACAAATAAAATAAAATAAAAAATGCATTACTACAACCACTAAACACATTTATCTTTAAGTCATCTTTACGCATTTGCTAAAAGCCAGTTCTTTCCACTCTCCTGAAAAAAAAAACTATTTACATGTAAAACAAAAGCACTTAGTGCTTCTTCAAATACAGAGCTCTCTGTCATAACCACCCATACGCTCTGCTAAATCGAGCAGCGGATTTTTCAAAACCACCCCTGTTTCATGATCCAGCGGGTGATCAAGATCTCAGCCCGTCTTTTGTCGGCTTTATGATTGACAAATACCAGCAGTTAGTGTTTCTCAATGGAGGTCACATGCCAACTGCACCTCGCAATCGCAATTTGAATCTGTGACCTCACCCAGTGCTTTAAAAACTCTAAAAGCAGAGCAGATCCTCATTATCCGAGTGCCATTGACTGCGTAGCGCATTCATGTTCTTCATTGTTGAGTTCCCTGTGCTGGTATGCGCTCTTTCATGCTCTGCTCATTGTCCCCTGCGGCACTGAAGGTAGACTTAATCTCTTCAAAGCAGGTAAAGGTCAAAGGGAAGATGACCCAGGCCCTGCTTCATGAAAAATGCTTTTTTTGTTGTTGCCTGACTGACCTCTGTAGAGGCCGAAGAAGCCCTCGTAGCGCACGACCTTCTTAAAGCAGTCCAGGCTGTTCTTGTACATGAGCTCTTCCACTAAGGACCCTGAAGAGCGCTGGTTCTGCATGCGGGTCTTCACCAGGTCGATGGGGTACACGGCCGTCGCACCTACAGCTGATATATGAGGGGGGGGAAAAAGGGTGTAAAACTATGGTAATATTGGTAAACCTCCTAGATGTTATGTCTGGTAACATATTGCACTGAAGTTCACTTCATTGCACTGAACATATTGCACAAGCTCCTTGTCAGGATTCTGCCACTTCGATCTTGTTAATTCCTGTTTTGGTGGCAGATTCCAGACACTAGTCCTGTCATGTCTTGTATGTTGTGCTCAGCTCGAGTTTTCTTGGGTCAAGCACTCATTTTCTGTCGTTGTCTGTCTTCGTCTTTGTACGAGCGCCGTCTTGGATATGCTTGGGAAGCTTGCTCTCGTCCAGGTGTGTTTGTTGCTTTGTTCGCGGCACTGTGTTTTTGTTTTCAGCGCTACATAGACTGATTTCACGCGGCCGCCATTTCGCCAAAAGCGAAATCGAGGCTTCGGTGGTAAGAAACCCGAAAGTATCATTGGGAGTTCCATAGGAATGTTGTGTAACTGACTATATAGCTTATCAGTGAAGAGAAAGGTCCGTTCTGAATGAATGGTGAATATAATAAGGGATATCAGAGCTCATTTTCAGCTAAGTTAAGGGAAATGGCACTAGTTAGCCAATGTTTTCTTTCCCAAACACACGTTTTTAGATGTTTTTATTAAACTGTTTCTTTTATAATATTAGACTCGTCACCATACTGAATTAAAAGAAAATAACATAAATTTCCCGCGAACATAAAGGCACTGTTGATGGCTTTCTTAAAACAGTGCTGATTTGCCATTGTGGTCACGTGTTCAACAGAAATGATTGTGATTGGCCGAGAAGGTCATCAGTTCACCGCTGTTTACACACACAACACAGACAGAGGAGCGATCTGCTTGTTGAGTCGACTAAACTTCAAGGCAAGGCTGCTTCGCGCTTCAGTCTTCATGTATCTGTGTTTGCACTGGGCGAAGAGCAGTAAGCTGAGTGCAAACCAAACACAAAGACACGCATACTGAAACGCGAAGCAGCCTTGAAGATCAGTCGAGTCATCCGCGCTCAGCAGCGCTTCCGTGTTAGCGGGAAATAGCCGGGTTTAAAACTTCAGTACCGGGACAACACTATTACAGACAGCACGAGGGTGTGCTGCAGAGGACTGCAGTGTTTTATCGCTCACCGGGTTACATAGACTGAAGCAGGAAAGCGTCCTCACGGTGTTTAACTGGTGCTATGAACTGAAGCCCAGGAGGAAACTTAAGCGCATCACTGAGATTGTGATGTTGTTTGATGCTAAATTGCTTTTAATTGTTTAAAATAAACTTACTAAAAAATATTAAAGTGATGGTTACATAATTTCTGCATTTTAAAATCTCAGCAACAGCAAGAGGTTTATAGTACTAGCAGTGCTGATAGTACTAATAGCAGTGCTGGTCCTATACTTCCGGGTTTCTTCCAACCGCAGCGTCGTGTGAAATAAGCATATTGGTTTCGGTTGCCCGCTAGGATCGGAATATGCATGCCGCATGTGTGAGTGTATGGTAAGTGGTTTCATTCATCGTGTGCATGTGTCTTACGTTCAGTCTTCTGTTGGTGTTGTGATTAGCACGTGGTTCATGTTTACATGCGCCGCATGGTTTAGTGTTGTGTTTCATGTGAACTTGGTTAATGAGTTCTCTCATTGGTTGCTTGCTCTAGTCTTGTTTTACATAAGTACATGGCTTGTGTTGTGTTTTTTTGCACCATGTGCTCCCCTGTCTATCATCTTGTCCCATCCACCTTGTTATGCTATTATTTATCATTATGTTCACCTGCCTGCTTATCAGTTTATTGGTTTAATTTCCCTATTTATTCTCTCAGTGTGCTCTGTCCTGTGCTAATCTATCTATCTAAACTAAATTGAATTTTTACATTGCAAAAAAATGCTTTTCTTACTTAGATTTTTTGTCTTGTTTCTAGTCCAAGTAATTAAAAATTCTCAAATCAGGAAGAATGTTCTAGACAAGCAAAACGTATTGTCTTGTTTTAAGAAATAATATGCCAATATTAAGTGAGTTTTTCCTTAAAACAAGAAAAATAATCTGCCAATGGCGTAAGCAAAATAATCTTACGTCAAAAGAAAAAACAAGATTAATTTGCTTACCCCATTGGCAGATTATTTTGCTTGTTTTAAGGAAAAACTCACTTAATATTGGCATATTAATTCTCAAAACAAGACAATATGTTTTGCTTGTCTAGAAAATGCTTCTATATATAAGAAAATTTAGATATTTAGACTAGAAACAAGACAAAAAATCTAAGCAAGAAAAGCATTTTTGCAGTGTAGTGAGGGTCTTCTAGAAACCATGGTAAAAATATGTTATCATTAAATGTATTACAGCTTTTATACCTCTTTATTTGATTAACAGGACACATTCTAATGTACAAAAAATCGAATAAATACTGTTATTAATTTGACAATTGAAGCCTGCTTTAACACATGAAACAAAAAAGGTAGAACAGGAAGAAAGTCTGGACATTTTTGAAGAAAACATCAGTCAACTGTTATCTGACAACTTTGGGGTGGACCTGAAGGGGATCCAGCACCGACAGCCTTAATTAAAGAGTGAGTCGCCCTGCACTACCTCCTTATTACCTCGTCTCCGAGAAAGAGAGAAAGAGAGAGAGAGAGAGGGAGAGAGAGAGAGAGAGAGCCAGTCTGGAGCCAAACACACCTACTGACACACACACGCACACACACAACCAGACTCACACTATCACACACATATGCATACACACACACCAAACACAGGGTCAAACATACCTCCTTACACACACAGATACACAAACACAATAATCACAAAAATCACACAAACATGCATGCACACACACATCAAACACGGAGCCAAACACACCTAGTGACACACATGTGCACAAAAGCATCCAGCCAGGAGCCTACCATGGTGCATAACCTCATTAAAGAGGAGAAACAGCCCACTGAGAAGGCAATAGTGCAGGCTTTGTTTGTCTTGTTGTCCAGTAATTGTGCTGTGGTTCACTCACCTCCAGCCACGGAGCCCAGGGTGAACCTGTAGGCCGACTCCGCTGCCTGGATCAGAACTGAGCGAGATGCTTCTCCACCAGAATGCTGCAAAATGGAGGAAAACACATCTGAGAACAATCTGATCTGCTGCCTTGAGGTTTTGATGAAGCATTTGTAATAAAAAGTTGCTAAAATTTTATTTAAAGCAAATAAGATAACTTTAATTTTAATATTATACAATAAACTTCAGAAATTAAAAGCCAAGCTGTTATAAATGCAAAGAATGGACTGTTTCAGATGATAAAAATAATATAATATAATATAATATAAATATAAT